CCCCCCAAATTCTCCCCCCCATCCCACTGGTGGGGGAAGTGAGTAAAGTGATCTACAGAAAGCTCTCCCCACCCCTTTACAGTGGTTATTCCATTGATTTATTCACAGAAATTAAGTGGACACATGAACTTGGAGCCAGTTCCGCTTCCTCCATTGATTTATGAGAAATACAAACATCTAACACAGCTAATGACTACAGCAAGCTTTGCATTTGTGTTGCTATAACAGACAGGATTATGTAGATACCATATTCTCATGTCAGTTATCAGCATAATTTACAAGAGAGAAGGGCTAGCGTAAAGGATATAGTACTATTGAGGTGAAAAATGTGAAGGTGACAAGTAATTTTACAAGAAACCTGCAAACTTCTGGCAAAGTGAATTAAAATAGAAAAAAATTAAGATGAATCTTCAGTTTTGTGGAGGTCAGTCTAGAAAACAGTTCTTCAGAGGTAGGTTACTGCTAACTTGTCATAGCTGAGAGCATTAGACAGGATCGCTTGATGCTGTAAGCTGGAATTTCTTCTTCTCAGAAGATTTAGTTGGGTATTTTCAACAGTGTGAAGTACTTGAAATAACTAGGAGAAGTTGCTATTTAATATCCAAAGCACAATTAGAGAAGTCTAGCATCACAGAATAGGTTCTGGGTGACTCATGAAACCTGTATTCAGACACGAACGATTTAAAGGTATTAGGCCTTCAACACTAACACAAGTTTTCCCTACTTAGGTGACATTGGGGGCTATCGGCACTGTTAGAGCTTTGCAGGTATGGTTAGACAGCAGCTGCTATTCCTGTAGGACTGCTCACATGGAATCGAGGAAGTTTCAGTCATGTTGATTGCATCTGCTTAGCACTGACATTCCTAGCCACTAGCTTCTGGTCTACAGTTTACTATCCAGATGGGGTACATGCCTACTTCTATCTTAAGAGACAAACTTCACCTTGAATTCTCAAAGTCAGTCTAAGCTTAAGTACCATAAATGTATGCCAGAGTTTGTTACTTAAGACCAGCCGAACCAGGCGTTGTCTTAACTCAGAGGAATATTTTAAATATTTAATGCTGAGGAAAAAATACAGGTTATATGAAGACAGCAAACCTCAAATCTTTGTGTGTTCATTCAGACAAACATCTTTAGCCTCAAGAACAGCATAACATTTTCATCTGGCTTCCTTTGACAGGCTGTCTCATTTTAAGCGACTAACATGTTAACAGTTGAGATGCATCCCCTACAAGGGCAAAGTAAATTTAAAGTAATTTAGTACGAGAAACACATAAATCTATTTCAGAATTAAACCATTCGGTACCAGAAAGCATGAAGAGTGTGAAGGGTAGAATTGCTGGATCATCACTACAAACAATTTAAGCGAACTTTTATTGAAGCATTAAGTTGTGGTACAGATATTTTTAAATGATCAAAGTCTAACACCACAGAAGTTATAAACACCATACTCCCCCCCATCCTGATCACCCTACATAGTTCAATAATCCATTCAACAGCTTTCATTTTTATAGCCGAGGCTTATGCTCCTATTTGTAAAACATGTATTTCAGTATTACTTGAAAAGGGATCTTCAGTCTACTTAAAGGACCTCAAGCCAACAAATGTCAGGTCAGTTGGGACAATGTTTAAGAACAAAAAAAAAACCCACTGAAATATTGGTCCTCAATATTAACACCAGAAAGCATTACTGCCATTTACAGCATGTAATTGATAACATTGGTAAAGAACATCAATATGCTTAAAATTAAAAAAAAAAAAAATTGAAGTGTTCCAACCACTTGATTTCTAACCAAGCAGACTTTAGTTTAGAAGCACTGAAAAAGTGCTTCATTTATAAATACAGAAGGAACAAAAAACCATTGCGTCAAACCAGAAAGAGTCAAAACATTGCAAGGACGAGAGGGGGGGAAAAAAAAATAATCTCAATTTCATAGTTAACATGCTGGTCCCTCAGCTGTTAAAATCCCAGTATTTGCAAACACAGCTGAAAGTGTGCCAGCTCTTTAAAGCCTGCATTTTAGTCAATACCCATTAAAGTGACTTTGAATTACACACTTATTCATGTTCTATGAATAGCGTTCTACTTCACTTCTGTCCAGGTGTCCCAGACAGTTCTTGTTCTATGCCTTCACTTAATGCCCTCAAGTCACAGTAAAAAAATTGAAGTTCCAACCACTTGATTTCTAACCAAGCAGACTTTAGTTTAGAAGCACTGAAAAAGTGCTTCATTTATAAATACAGAAGGAACAAAAAACCATTGCGTCAAACCAGAAAGAGTCAAAACATTGCAAGGACGAGAGGGGGGGAAAAAAAAATAATCTCAATTTCATAGTTAACATGCTGGTCCCTCAGCTGTTAAAATCCCAGTATTTGCAAACACAGCTGAAAGTGTGCCAGCTCTTTAAAGCCTGCATTTTAGTCAATACCCATTAAAGTGACTTTGAATTACACACTTATTCATGTTCTATGAATAGCGTTCTACTTCACTTCTGTCCAGGTGTCCCAGACAGTTCTTGTTCTATGCCTTCACTTAATGCCCTCAAGTCACAGTAAGAGGAACCACCTTAGTAATTAGGAGGAAAAAACAGATGAAGTCACAACACTCAAATACAACATAAGTCACATGCACAACAATGTCACAGGACTGTCACAAGACAGAGGCATTAGCTTTTCTTGGAACAACAAAACAGAGTGACACTGGACCAGTTTAGAAGCACTCTTTACAGTTAGAAGTGGTAGGTCACAGGTTTTACTGAGAATAATTCAAACCAATCAACGCACCCAGCCCAGCAAATTCCACTCCTTCACTAGATCTACCTGCCAGCGCTCAAGAGCACCAGCTTCTTTGTCTGACATAACTGGTGATTAGGAAAGAAAATGTCTGGTGCCAATATGAACTTGCACTTTGCAAAGCTGTCACACAGCTATGCCAAAGCACTTGCATCCTGACTCAGCTCTTCCCCATCAAGTCTTGGACCTTCTTCAAATTCTGCCATTGTGTAGCAGTGTGACAGCTTGGGCATGCGGACAGATAAATGAGCATTAAGGTAAGATGAAATTTAACCTGCATTAGTACCGATACCCAAGTCTGTAAAGGTGAAAGACCAATGCATTAGCCCAGTGCTACAGTATAGCTGAGCCAATTCCTATAAGCTTGAGTAGAGCATGAAAAGTCAGATTTAAAAATAAATCAACCACCTGCAGTAGCAAAACAATTCGTAACTGTTTTAAGAACTTTCTCCAAACATGAAAGTGTTAATGAGGAATCAGTTTCATTAGAAATCATAAGTTTGTCGAAAACTGTTTTAGACTGAAATCACAAAATAGATAAAAAAAGAGTGACAATTTAACAGAGAACTGTCCCCAGTGAGTAGATTGAGGCTAAAGTCTAATGAGGACGAAAGCCTTGTCTGTGGGGAATTTTTGGTGATACCTGGAGAAAAACTATACTGTGTGTAATTCTACCTGAATCATTTTTACAAGTGTTGTAAAGTTTCATACAGTAAGATTTTTCTACATGCACTTCAATTTCACAGCAAGAGTGGCATAGAGTACCTAAACACAGAAGAGAGCATTCATGCAAGATATCTAACTCCTTGATATAATAATGCATACAATTCAAAATGGTTATACTATGATTACACCTAGGGCTTTCCACAACTACAAGGTGGTGGGAGTGGAAAGCATGGCCCCCTGAATCATTAACTAGAAAGCAACCACCACCTTCTATATGGGATTTCTTTTTGCGCTTTTTCTTCATTCTTAATCAACTGTGCTGTTGCTGGCGATTCTTTGTAAAACTGGTAAAAACAAAATTATAATCACTGAATTGGGCAATCTGGTGATCAAGACGTTTAAACCCTTCAATCTTCTGGGCAGAAGAAAACACTGTACGACACTTAGAGCTCTAGAAAACAAAAAAGTGAAGTTTACTTTAAGCTTAGCATTTAAAGATGGACTAGCACAATACATATTTTGTGTGGTTCTCGTAATACTGTTACCAACATGCTCCAAACCCATGCCTGACAGTGCTGCAGAAGTTTCAACCCCAAGCAGCGATTCTGCTACCTATGTATGGTACTGCTTTTTTCTATGAATCCTTAACTGGCAGCATCACCATTAACAGCAGCGCTTCTACAACTGACAGCTGCAGCCACGTCCAGAAAAATACCAAAGCAAGAAATTATGCCTCTACGGAACTGCACAGGAAGTCATTAGAATACTGAGACTGGGCTGCCTTACCTTAGTGTTTAAGTTTTCTGGAGATCAGATTTAGTGCATGCCAAAGCAATACTGAAGAGTATTTTTACTTTCCAAAGAAACTACCAAACAGAGGCAAACTAGAAACTACTAATGCCCTAGTAAAAAATCTCTAGCCTTGCTTTGTTTGTGTCTATATGCATTTCAGGGGCTGACAAGCCAATGCAAGAAAACTCACCTGATTAACAAAGAGGGTTGTCACAAATTTTCCTGGCTTGAAAACCTCTACAACTTTTCTAATCAGGTCATCATAAGAGGTCTGACTTATGTTTGTTTCAAAACTAACGTAAGAGAACTCTGGTTCTGGAGTGATGTGAATAGTCCAGTAAGTTCCCTGAAAAAAAAATATTATTACTGCCAAATAATTACTACTTATTGTAACATTAATTATGAGTAAGTGTAAAACTTACATCTGATTTCATCCCATTCATTGAATACCCACAAGGATTGAACATTGTAGCATCAATAACAGAACCTGGTATCAGGTCACGAATTCCACTCATCTGAAATAGAAGTTAAAATTACACCACTCAGTTTATCATCACACATCCTTATACTTGTTTAGATTTAACTCAAAGGCAGAACAAACACCAATTTAGGGGACAGGACACCAGAATTCTCCCAGTAACAAGTCAGTCTGATAATTTGTACCACTGTAGATGAACTTGCTTTGCATCCTGTCACTTATCAAGTGACCGAGTGCCAAGTTGCATGCAAGTTATCAGATCCTTAGCCTCTTACAGAACCAAGCTGCATACCTCAAAGACAAGGGGACAGCTTATACACCTAATACATAATTGCTTCTGCAACTAAAATGGAAATGGAGCTCCTGTTCAACCAGTATCCACAAAGTGAAGGCTGTTTACATTTACTCTGGAGTGAGAACATACTTCTTTATACTCTAGAATGAAGTGCAATCCCAAGCACTTGGATTTCCCACACAGTACTCGAGATACAGCCAAATCTCAATAGCAAATACAGGATGAGAATCAGCGCCTAAGATGGAAAACCAGATGAAGTCAATGTACTTGTCAGAGAAACTTGTTCACGTCACAGGGCTTTCCCATTTGGAAAAAGGAGGAAAGGAGGCAAAACCGTCAAGTTATGCTTGGACTTTAAATCCATGCCCGCCCCCCCAGCTATCCAAATGGCTCCATGATTTAACCTTAATTTTGATACCTAGATTCCCTTGGCATTCATTATGCTCCATCTAAGTCTTACTCCTTGTAATCTCCATCCTTCAGTGGAAGTTACTCAATTGTTGTTTTATTCCTATTCCTCCATTTTTCAGAGGATAAGCTTCCAATCACCCAAAGCACTGCAAATTGCTCCTTTCAATAGATTAAAGCAGAGGCACTGAAAATGTGAAGTTTTATTCCCAAAAACATCCTAGAGTTAAATCCATTTTACCCCAAAAACATTAACCTGACATTTTCTATGAGCTCTTTCCTACCAAAAAAATAAGCCTTGTATTAAGTGGTAAGTGAAGCATTTTGTTGCCCAATTTCCACCATTCCCAAAAATGCTTAGTTTTCAGGCAAACATACACGAGTGACATCATTTGCAGTAACACCATCTTTCATGTAGAACTGGTCCATAACTACTGGGTCAAGCTCACTCATCAGAATTTCCAGTGTCTGATCAGGCTGATTGGATATCCGACTCTCTGGGAAATCCAGGGTGTACAGGTACCTATATAAAATACAAATCACTTATGTAATAAATATCAGCAGCACCAAGTTAAGTTTTACTGTAAGCCCCAAAGATTTCAAAGTCTTCACATACATACCAGCAATCAGAATTCATACGCCCCATGCAATAAGCTGCTCCATCTGACAAGACAAAAAGTCTCCAGTTAATGTACCGCAGCTGATCCTTTATGTAAAAGATTGACTTCATTTCATATTTAAAGACAGTAGAAGTCTTTCACAGAACACTAAGAGGGGTTTCACTGATACAGTCAGCATCTGTATCAAATAAGCAGGCGTTTAACTTCAGGAACATAAAGCCAATAATCAGAAAAACAGGCTCCCTCAGAAGGTGGGCTGGACACCCCAGTTCAGAGCCTACTAGCAGGAAATTCAGATTACAGCTTTAGCTACACACCAACAGAAACCCTAGTACTCTTAAGCATCTATTTAATGGCTTTATGGTTAGCATTTATTTTCAAATAACTCAGATAAGTACTACAGCTTCTGTGTTCCTTCAAAAAACTTTTCTGCCAGTAGTTAAAATTCAAGGTTATTCTTGTAGGTTGTAGATTTTAAGTGTTTGAATTCAATCTTTAGTGCAGTGACTTTTCTGAGAAAACCTTACATTTTTCTTCAGTGTATTCATTACCTTAAATTACTCTTCTACCTTTTTAACAAGGCTTTTATGGTTAGTGAGAGCTGGATTCTGCAGACTGAATTATTACACTATTTGGAAGTCTGAAGACGACCTCAGTTAAGACAAGGTGCTAAGTGTCAAGCTTAGTATGATTTAAGTTTTGATCTCAGCAAGTTAGTGTCAGAAATTCAGAAAGTATTTAGAGCTTTTGATTTTTATGCAGCTGAAGCTTGTGCTGGCTACAGAACTGCAAGCACGGCTGAATGAATGGCCTGGCAGCCTGTACGTATTGCGCTGCTTGTCAATTCTCACTTCACAGCAACGCTTCACACAAGCTTTGCAACTTGGCTGAAGTTTCATGAACTTACTTGGGAAAATTTCGTTAAGAAACTCTACTTCTTCCTGGAAATTCCTATGTGGGTACTCCTGGTGGGAAGGCTTCATGAAATTCTTACGTGAATAAAAGAAGCTCTGAAAAAATAAAGGTACATCTCAGATACTGAATATATCCATCCACCTTGAATCTAAATCTAGAAAAATGCAAGCATTTACTATAAGCTTTCACAGGACCTAAGTTTTCATTGTCAAAACACAGAGGCATATGGTTTTTCCTAGCTTAATTTGTAAGTTACAGGAGACATCTTACTTCCAAATTTGTTTTCCACAAGAAAACATCAGTGACTTCAGCGCTGACAACATGGGCATGGAAGCCTTTCACCCTTAAGTGACCTTAACTCAGCACAATAGCATTTGTAAGTTCACATCCTTCAAGAGGAAAATAGAAGGCTAAATCCTACAGCAGAACAAGCAATCTTATATTACAATCTTCCCATTTTGGGAAGCATACTTAAATGACAACGGAAGTTTCAGAATATATAATAAAATCAGTAAATTTGAAATATTAGTAAAAAGCTTTTTGTACATTCTAAGGAAGATGCAGCATTTTTGGCACCTTACCTGAATTGAGTCAAACCCACTGTACTCCCTAGCAAGCTCCAACAGGGGAACCAGTGCTTGCAGTAAGAGGGTGGTACCACACGTCTTCAAAATGAAACGTCTCTTGGAGACAAACATGCTACTCTCACTGTAAAAAAAAAGTGTTAAAAATTTATTAAATGCTCTATATAAAACAAGCCAGAAGAGAATGGTTAGATCTCAGTTCTTATCCCAACCAAATGCATTACTGTAAGTGAACATTCAGCATATGGTACATAAACATGCTTGGCAAATGGATCAAACCAATAGATTTTAGCTAACATTTGAGAGCTGTTATGATTTCCCAAAACAAATACCTGCTGCAAGCGTGGTATTACACAGCTACCACACAACAGGAAAAAGAGGTGCTACATGCATTACATATCCTCAATCTATTGGAGAAATACAAACATGCTGTGAAGTGGGTACACAGAGACATGCAATTTAATTTCTTAACCCAGACACAGAATGGGGTCAAACTTGAAATCTTTCTCAGCTGAAATACAGCCTATGGGAAAGTCAGCTCAAAAAAGGCAAAAGCCTTAACAGAATTTAATAAGTTGTCTGGCTGCATCTTCTAGGAAAGCTGACTACTGGAAAGTGGTAAATCAGCACCTGTCCACAGGAACAGGAAGTCTCATAATGAGAGTATAGGCACAAGATACAGAAGTTAACTATACATAAACTGTAAGTCAGACACTTAACTACAGTCCCACTGAACCTGGAGATTAGCATTGATAGTACATCCAGAACACTTAAACATGTAAAACAATTATCTTCTCACCAAGTAACTGAACAATGGGACTGAGTCTAGCTTAAATAACTAACTCAGTTTGGAATCCTGTTTAAGAATGCAAAGTAAAGGTTATACTTCATCCAGAATACCATTGTAACTAGTTACATTCTTTTCAGAATTTTGTTTTAAATATATGAAGCTTGAGGAAACAAGACTTCAGCAGAGTTTGACTAGCTTGCTCTTAGCCCAACCTTGCCCTCAAGGCAGTCTTTCAGAGTACAAAAGCTTCAGTTTTTGTAATCTGAAGTAAAACAGCAAATGTCAATGTGTCTGTAAAGTTCACGTAGAAAAAGCATGAGAGTATTTTGCAAGATGAAAAACCAAGACTTCACAGAGTTTGACTAGCTTGCTCTTAGCCCAACCTTGCCCTCAAGGCAGTCTTTCAGAGTACAAAAGCTTCAGTTTTTGTAATCTGAAGTAAAACAGCAAATGTCAATGTGTCTGTAAAGTTCACGTAGAAAAAGCATGAGAGTATTTTGCAAGATGAAAAACACATGGCAAAAGTAGTGTCCTTACAACTAACTGCTGCACAAGACAAATCCCAAGATTTCAGGAAAGCTACATTTTTACAGATGTCCTTAGCTTAGCTGCAAGAGTTGTTCCACTTGATTGCATATCTGGAGTTAAAGCTGATCTACTGATACAGTTTTTGCTGATCTCAAAGTGACACTTAGATGCACTATTCTGCTGAAGTAATCCTAAACCTCTTAACTGGGGAGACTTACTTATCCCTGGACAAAATTCAATGATCAGGTGCAGAACCACCACAGCTCTGTCCTTAATCCTTTTAGTTAAAGAAAAAAGACAAACACTGATAACTATGAAGACATTCCTGCTACTGAACAGAAGCATGACAGTATGATTAGCAGACCCCTGCAAGTTGTAGTCATGAGCAGCAGGATCTTAACCCAAGACTGGATTCTCAGCCAAGTACAGCCTGAATGACAGCTTTAACTTTTTTACCTCTTGGAGACTAGAAGAATAAGCTAGTGACTTACCTGAGTACATAAGCTTCCTGCTTGTCAGTTTTTGTCACACTTATGATCAAACAATGCACATTCTCCAGAAGTTTGTCCCACTCAATCCTGTGAAGAAATTAAAGAGCACAAGCAACAGGTTAAACAAACTGAAGCTTTCTGGAACCCTGGGTAAAAACTATAGCCCAAACAAGACTATAGCTCTTGTCTTGAGCTGCTGAATCTGAGAGCATGAAAGGCAAGGACTTTTTATATAGGAACTGTCTATCACAATACAGTAATATCCAGTAATATTCTTAGCTCTCAAAGAATGGCTAAGTATATAAAGACCCATCACATCAGGAGAGACGCTGGAGCTAAGGCAGCCCGATCTGCCCCCTGTATAACAACCTGCGCAACTAAGAAAAGGCGACGGGTGACAGTAGTAGGC